TGTTCCAGTGATCACATCATAATCATCTTCTTCCGAACACTGTCTTTCCTGATCTATGCGCCAGCTGCCTGGTGCTGGGACTGGGCGTAATGGTTGAGAGGGTTAGATTATCTGTCTGTGCGTCTCACACACGACCTGGCCACCACATTGTGTGCCAAGGTACACCAAGCACAGATTTCCCCACTTACGTGAGGTAGGCATCTTCTGATATGTACCGTGGCATCCGCCATACCGTTTATGGCAGAGAGAACCAAATGCTCGCTGTTGGGAAGAACTAGGGTGTTACGAGATGTGGTGCATGGTATGAAACAGGTAGGGCCAGGAATGGAGGAGAATATGCGCACCCGAGGTTCTTGTTTAAAAGAAGACGAAGACACGATCACTGGGACGGTAGCTTTATTAGTCGCAAGTGTACGTCTGAGCGACCTCTCCATCTTAAAATGACAAGCCCTACCGGGCTAGCGCTAAGATATAACAGTTCGATCGTCAAAAGCGACGTCTTCCACCGTGTTCCCCACAGGGCTCGTCCAGCACCAGTGACTTGCACTGCAGAATTGCATAGCATCCTCCACACTCCCTCCTCCGTCACCCACCACTCCCCAATGGTAAGACGGCTGGAGGTGGGTGCGAGTGCAGTGGTCGAAAAGGCCGAATAGTCCGCCTGCGCCTGCCACGCACGACCTCGTTCTCGCAAAATGCACCGGGTTTTCGCAGATGTGGGGAGGGTTCAGATCTCGCGTTTGTGAGTACTACAGATGTCCCATTAAGAAGTAGCCATTGAGTCTGACTCCCAGTCCTCGACCCAGCCATCCCAAATACACAGTACTAATCACGAGGACCGACGAGTTATCCAGTCAGCCGGCAGCCTTCCAATCCAAGTCTTTCAGTGCAGCATGATAGTGTCAATGCACGTTAGGTTTATAATTAGTGAGGAATACGCTGATGTGCCCTTCCCAGTGTCGATCCAACAGTCTCTTCCCTCTCCCCTGCGCCCGTCCACTATCCGAGACGGTCAGTCGTCTGGCGTTGGGATTGGGCGCACTGGTTGACAAAGCTGCAATAGCCTATCTACTTGCATCTCACACGACCTGATCAAGCACCTAGTTACGTCAAAGAGCACGCTTTTCACTTATATGGGTTGTACAAGCTCTGTCCGTGTGTGGGGTGTTGTGAGGTGGGTGCGTGTGTGTGTGGTGTACGGGCCGGTGGGACGAGGTGTGGTGATGGAGCAACTTATGCGATGTCTTACCCCAGTTTTTCATGAATGTGCATTTGGCTGAACAGGCCCATCCGATGGTGGAATGTCCTTGGGCAGAGTGGGCAGGTGATGCGTGTACAACGGTTTCTGACACTGGCATGCCAGTCTCAGTGCGATGGCTCGCAAGTGTCCGACCAAGCCGATGCGTAATGTCCGGAGACCGTAAGGACAGGACGGAGGTGTGGTTAGTGGGCTGACGGTGTAATGGTGCTACAGTTGGTGGTTACGCTCGTGATGGTGAAGCTGGTAGTGCCGGCTGTAGAGGAGCTTTCAGATGTATGGGTTAGATTTCTCGTGAGGACATTGAGGGGAATTCCACTGTTACGGATACCCATATGACCAGCCAGACCCACGTGGTGTCGGAGTGTCCCGAAGTATTGTTGGGAAACGAGGCGTGTGCGGCGGGCCTACGGGTGCTGGTACTAAGGCTCGATAAGATGGATTTGCAAGTGGCCTACCAGTTTCATGCATGATGCGACGGTGCGGCTGCAATAGCGACAGGTCTGAATTAAGTTCGCATTGTTGGTGGTAGGAGCAGTGGCAGTGATATTTTGTAGGTCGGTAGGAGTGTCCTCACGGATGTTGCCAGTGTTGGCGATAGTGGTGGTTTGGTGTGAAGTGAGGGGATGGTTGGTAGTGTTGACATTGCACTGGATCCATGGGTGTCCAGTGAGTTCGACCTGTGTCCGAAATGTCCGGTGAGAGTGTAAACACGATGGCAGGATTTTGGGTGTTGGCTTAATTGCTTCATAGCACTTGGGACTTGTAGCTCTCTCTCTCTCTCTCTTTGCCTTGTCAGCGACTATCCGGCTGACTTCGAAGATGACTTCCCCGGTCCTTACGGCAGTGCGCCATGCCCGATGATATTGAGCGAGAATCTCCCAGGGCTCCGGGCTGATTTGCAGATTTCTGAGCCAGGTCTTCAAGATGCCCTTGTATTGAAGCTTTTGTCCGTCTTGTCTGCGATCACCCGCAACTACTTCGCTGTAGAATAGTCGCTTGGGCAGATGCATACCGTCCAAGGTAGTGCACTCTCACCCATCGGGCTGCGAGATCCGCTCGTCTTGTTATGTCTTATGACCCAATGCAAAGCCTCTAGGGTAACCGTATGGTAAAATGCGGAACGGGATTGTCAATAAAGAGAAGAATGACTGGAATGGGCATTTCTGGCTCATTAACCGTCATCAGCCCAAACCCAGATTTGCGTCCCCTGGGGCTCGAACCCACGTTCTGTTGTCGTTGTCCATCCTCACGACGCGGCCCTACCATGACACGGATACTGAGGATCTCGGTCCTTTCCAGTACCCCAGTGTCTGAGATCCGTTCCTTCCTCTTCATTAACGGTATTTTTCGAAGGTAGCTGAGATGAAAATGGTTGAGGCTTATTGCTTAGTCTTCATAAACTCTCCAGTCTCCGTCCCGTACAAGAACGTCGTCAGGACAACAGCCCTGTACTTTCTATTTTATGTTAAGTAGGATCCCGCGATGGTTGCAGACGGAGTGCTCCAGACGGCTGAAGGCTTGAGTGATTTTGGAGATCCAGTCAGGATTTCAGAATGATTTTCCAGAGTCCATAGTGATTCCATTTGGGGGCGCCTTTGTCAGATCGATGGAGGTGGTATAGAAACTTAAAGAGGGAGACACAATCGCTGAGACAAGTGTCTCCTTCGTGTCTCCTCCATCAAGACTACTTCCCGGGACTCGTCTCTTCGCTTATATTGGTAAAGAAACTTGTCCTCAGTTACTGGCACTTTTCTGCAGTTAGCCGACCACAAAGATTACGTCTAAGATTCCACATTCTGTTCAGAATACGCACTGCGTTTTGGAGGAAGTTTGCACTCCAGATGCGCATTCAGGACATTGAGTAGACTTTTCCTGCGATATTGAAAAGGGGTATGTCCTTGGACCTATCGCACAGTTACCGATTCCCTTGTGTTTGTAGATGTGCACGATGGTAACATCCT